TCATCGATTATTTATTATTAGTTATGTACTTTTGAATCCTCTGTCACATGTTTTTGAGCCGTGGAAATCCTGGTTAGTGTTCATATTAAATAACGTAGTGATGTTTCTGTCTGCTCCTCTTCTGTTTGCTGTTCACGTGTTAAAGTTTTAGCTGAGCTGGTTTCAGGAAGTCTGAGCCTGTCCATGTAGCTGCTAGCATCATTTAGCCTTTTTGCCATTAGCATAGCCACTGTGGCGCCGTCACAGCTGATTTGTCTTCATGTTTTAAAACTTGTCTCTTATTATCTTGACTCTTTCAGCTCATTTGCTTTTGCTGCTTCAGACTGAATGTGTTTCTCTGTTCTCAGTTCTGATTGGCTTTTACTTCTGACGTGTAACCAATCAGACTCTCCTGTCGACCTCATGTGGAACATCTGACTTACAGTCCAGTAAATGTTTAAGTTACAGTTAAATAAGACATGGCGGCTCAGATGATTGCACTGGTCAGCGGTAGTCGTCATGGTTACGTGCTGTTGGCGCTCTCTGGTTTTCTTCCTATTTGAACCTTTCAGTCCGTTTGCAGCACTTTGGTTGGTGAAAATGACTTGAGGTGTGTTGGCGGCGTGATTACTGGAAGAACGTTTGACAGAAGGTGTAGATATCTGCGACCCGACGTCTGTCCTCGTCCTCCGTCATGTCTGAACGTCTTCACCTGTCCTCCGTCGCTCAGCTCAGAGGCTGATGATGATGCTGATGATGATGCTGGTTAACCCTCCCTCTCTCTCTCTCTCTCTCTTTGCAGAAGTTTCTTCGGAGAGATCTCCGAGGAGGAGGAGTATTTCTGGTTTGGGGAGCTCGGAGAAGAGCGTCGCAGTCGACAATCCAAACACGTCTCCGTTCAAAGTGCCGGTGAGTAACGGGAACGCGTCTCTGTGCATGTTTTTATTTACTGCATGCCATCACAGAGATCTCAGGCCCGTCTCTGCTCCGTCGTCCTCTCTGGTGTTCCTCCACCCTCAGAGCACGAAGATGTGTCGCCTGTTTGCTGTATATCACACACAGGCTGTACATAAGGCGGACTTCCTGTTACCAGCAGGTGGCGCTAAAGTCTGAATACGTGATATTAATAAGTTACGTGTGTGTTTAGGTCGTGGCATCACTCATCAACGCCTCGTCAGTTTTTCACAGCCAGAAGGGAGGGTGGCATGCTAATGCTAACTAGCTTGGTTATCAGTAAATAAAATGTCGGTGCAACTGAACACAGGATATTACTGTTACTGTTACTGTTACTGTTGCTGTTGTTTTTGTTACTGCAGCTGCAGCTGTTGTTTTTGTTACTGTTACTGTTGTTTTTGTTACTGTTGCTGTTGTTTTTGTTACTGTTGCTGTTGTTTTTGTTGCTGTTGTTTTTGTTACTGTTACTGCAGCTGTTGTTTTTGTTACTGTTACTGTTGCTGTTGTTTTTGTTACTGTTACTGTTGTTTTTGTTACTGTTGTTTTTGTTACTGTTGCTGTTGTTTTTGTTACTG